AGACACAGAAGAAACTTCTAGCAGCTTCTCACAGAAGCCACCCCTGTAGCCCCCCCGCTACCAAGACCTTGCCACACAAACCCAATACAGATTCATGAGAATTCTTACAGTTATTGATTCAGAATCCCATAAGGGATAAATGCTGGAATCCTCATAGGTATGGAAGCACTGAGCACATTGCCAAAATGAGTCCACTGAAAATTTCACATCCGAAACTATGCTTTCAGGGTTCAGAATTATGTATTAACATTACAAAAACCTTGAGAGCTGTCTAGACTTCACTGGAATAATGAAGAAAAAAATCTGCTACGGAAATGCTTAGATATATTTATTTCAGCCAACGTGATGCCAGTTTGACTGTTTCCCTGACTCTATAGTGTAACCCATTTGTTTCTCTTTGCAGCGAACGTCTTTTCCGACAGCTGTGTGCCATACACTGGCTTTTGGAAGCTTTGACTCTTGAATCCAACAGTTCGATGCATTCCATATTAACCTGTTGGAATCCAACGTATGTGCCCAATGCATGATAGTAAATGGAATGAGGACTTTGGGATCTTTTGTCTTTTATATGTTGTTATTTCCCTTCTTTCAAGTAATAACTATTTGAGTGAAATATTATTAGTTCCATGCTGTGCAACATAAATAAATTTTGCATTGACCTTGCCCCCATGCAGTCAGCAGGGAGTTGTACAGTCAAATCAGGAGCATAGCATGGTCCTCTATTATTGCAAGTTACAGAACTAGAAGAAAATACTGAGCTATCCCACCCAAATTTAGTTGTGTTTTCTTTCCTTTTTCTCTTTTGGTTAATATTTATGCAAATTAAATACATGTAGTAATATATGTATGTATATTCCTATAGTCTTCCCTTGGAGGATTATCCCAGTGAACTCAACAGAAATTCCATATATATTATAATTACAGAACAAAGCTAGCTATTAAGTGATATTTAGTAGCTGGTTTTATCCCATCAATTATGTATGACAGTGATGGGTACTTGTAAAAGATGCATTGCTTCTGAACTTTTATACTGTTAAAAGTAAATACTAATTTAAGTTCCAAACATTTTAAGTCAATATAATCATGTTGACATAACATGTATTTAAATTATTCATGAGTGTTTGGTAAAACAGTGAACAGTTTACGCTCTGATTTGCAGGGCAGAGCTTTGCAAAGCTGTCCTGTTCTCTCTGTATATTCTTAGTCAAGACAAACTGTGCCTATGTACAACAGAGGTGGCAGAGCAGCAGTTTATAGAATTAGCCTGATAGATTGGAGGGGAGAATCAACCCAGTATGTACTGTGGATGGGTTTTTCACCCCTTTACATACGAGAACCAACCAATAGACTGGGATAAAAGAAACAGTTTGTCAGCAAGTCTCACGGATACAGGCTGGCAGCAGAGTATAAATGCAGAAGGCTCTGGATTAATTTCCAGGTTCTGAAGTAGTGCAATCTCTTGTTACATACTTCCTTCTGCTCTCTGTTACTGTCCCTAACCACCACTCTTCCTCAACGTCATTTGAACTCATCTGCATACATGCATGCTTCATTACACAGTAACCATGAAAAATTAGGCTTACATTAATAGTATGTTTAGATCATATAGTCTCTGTTTGCACAATAAGAGATTACTTTTTTTTTAAATGTGGTGAAGGAAGCAAGCTTACAACACTAATCTGCTTTGTAAAACCTTTGACTGATTAGATGGAGACTGAATGATAAATGAGACTACCTCAGCAGTGACCTGGTGTTATACCACAGCTGCGAGGGCTGCAGCTTCCACATTTACCTTTGTCAACATGATGTAACGTTTAAACTTTGGGACTAGCACAGGTCCTCACTCAGCCAACAGCACTGAAAAATCAAACTTGCATGAACCTGCTGTCATTTGTATCCGTGAAATCTTGCTGTACTGGACAAAATTCTTCAGTACTTGCACAGACGAAGTTGAGAATGAGTTGAGAATCTGACCCAGTACATGCATGATAGTTTGTAGAATGACTGTGCTTTCTTTCAGTGTTTCTTCACTTGTGACTGTAACATACTCATGGCTTATACACCTTGTGTTTTCTTTCCATTTCTTATAAGCAAAGACATGCATCATAATAGCAGGCAGCCACCATTTACTCTCCAATTATTGCATTTCTTAAAAGAACTTATAATAAAAACAAGACACTCAAAATGGAAAACTAATTGAATTGTTTTCGCTTAGGGACCCTGGTGGCTGTAAAAAAACAGTAAAAGAAATCAAAGAGGAAAAGTTAGCAAGATACATGTGGGAGCTCTTTATTACAAACACAAAGGTAACTTCCTTGTTAATTTCTTCCTTGGGACAAAATCAAACTTTTCTGTCATTTGTTCTGCTGCTTAATTGAACTCCCCGATACCACATTTTATGCTCTAGATCTTGTGACTGCAGAGTACTTCTGTGTCTAGGTTTTGAAGAATAACAATTTGATACAAGGTAATAGGAAGAACAGTATGTAGCTAATTGAAAATGTGGCTTGGTCTTAGTGATCAGTACTGATGTGGGAAGGGTTCAATATTCAGCTAAAATATAACTAGCCTCTTATTTGCATTTTCCCCCTTTTTATGACGCAGGGTCATGTAGCAGTACTTGTTCACACAAATAGGTCTTTTCCAGTCAAATGGGGATTTCAGACTGGTATCCTAGAGGCCTTATTCTAGTAAAATCTAGTCATGATTTGCTTGGCTGCCTTTTTACACAGAATTTAAAGCTAAATTTGGAAACAAATTCCAAATGTTGAAGCCTTTAAAGAAAGCAGGATTCACTTGCCACATTCAAAGCAAAGCCAAGGAAAGGAGCAAACAAGCAATTCAGATGAAAGCCTTTTAAAAGAAAAATAAATTTAATACCTGAGAGGAAATTAAACATCAGAACATTATCTGTAACGCTTGGTAACTGTTTTACTATCTTTCTGAAACCACAGAGAGACTTTTCTTATTGAAGCTGTTGAAGTGACTGGAGGAAAATGAAGGGGGAATGAGTGATGCTTAGGAGTATAATTAGGAGAACTCAATAAAGAACCAGTGGGTTTCTCACTCTGTAGCACATCTTACATTTTGATCTTCAGCAGTTTGCTTAAGCTTTTAGTTCCTTGCTTTGCCCCTGTAAGGATAAATGAAACAAGTTTAGTGAAGTGCTTTTAGAACCCCAGGTGAGGCACTTAGAAATATGAGCTGTTGTTACATGCAGGCTATTTGGTCTTGTTATTTGTCAACACCTGCAGCATGTACCCTCATGACATAATGATGAAAATGATTCAATAGAAGATTGTGATTTCTACTGGGGAATAAGCAGCAAAAGTTGTGAAACTTTTAAAAGACAAGAAATGTGGTTTTATGCAAATATTCCTCATGCTGTTAGCAAACAGAGAGGGAAAGTCAGCAAGTCACGTAAATAACAAGGTCATTTATAAATATGAGGCTTTCTGATTTTTCCATACAGTCTTACCAGTTCTCTGAAGTCAGGTCCAAATGAACATGAGCAGAAGAAAACAAAGTGCATGTCAGTCCTGATGTGTCTTTTAGCGTTTACATTGCTGAGACTTTTTTTAACTCCTTGAATTAATGACAATTTCCTTTGTGTCATTTATACTAATATTACTTGAAGACTGCTTTTCATATTTGATATGAAATTTCTAGTGGAAATATTGGGTTCCTTCGGGGCACTTGCATTATAATACATATTGTTCTGATTATCAAGCCTGCAGAATTCAGTCTGCTTTCAGACTTCAGCTTTGCATTCCTGACAGGAAATTCATTTACCAGGTTATTGGGTCTTGGGAGGAGACCTGAACATTTATCAAACCACTTTGACCTATTCTTCCCTGTACATGAGAAGGTTGCTCTATTACCAACCCTCTGCAGCTGCAGTGTTACTCATTTACAAACTAGCTTAATCTGATGGCATTAATGCTATAGTAGAGGAGTATTGAAGAAAGATAACAAAATGAAGGAGGTCCTACCCAACAAATCACTAGCTTGTCTGAAGTCACTGGGGAAAAATCTGTGAGGTTACAGGAGTACCAGAACAATCCCATATTGGAATTAGTTACAGAAATACGATTCTTTGTTGTCAAATGGCTATAGAAAACCCCTCCTTTTATTCACTTTTTCGTCTATGTACAGAAACGCACCTGGAAAGCACGATGCAGTCCACTTATCAGGAAGATAAACAAGATATCTACTCCAGGTATCTCTCAGCTTAGCAGTCAGTCGTCTCTCCGTGCTCAAACCCCCTGTGGCAGTGAAACTTCTACTGCACCTTGCTCTGAAGACAATGTCAAGATTAATGTAGCTTCATCTGGTGTTATGAGTGAGTCAGCACAAGGTAAAGAACAACAACCTCTTTTCCCCTGTAAGTTCCTTTTCTTGACTGCCAATATAAAATGGATTTTCTCTCAGTGTTACTAGTGAGAACCTATGTCAAAGATGCTGCTAGATGTAATTCGGGTATATGGAACTTTGTACAAGTGTCTCTGTGCCCTTGCCATTAGAAAGTTGGTTTAAAGATAATATAATCCCATGTGAATATTAAGTGAGAGTTTTAATTAATATTGAGTTACGGCAGTTGTATAATCACACTGTCATCCACGTCTATAAGGTCCAACAGGCAATGAAAGCAGTGAAACTGTTCTCTGCCATAACCAACTGATCCCCTGAATGAGTATCTGTCTAACTTAGGGGGTTCTGTTTAACATAGGGGTTTCTTACTCTGTATTTGTCCTACTCTTCCATCAGTGATTATCTGTGCTTGATAGATCTGACAGAATAGTTTATCTGTTAGCTCAGCAACGCGTTTCAGTACAAAGCCGGGTAACCTCAAGTATTTTCCCTTTCTTCTAAGTAAAGCTGGACCAGAAAAGCATGTTAGTATTTAGTACTTCTAATTATGTTTTAATTTATATTTATATTATCATTATTAGTCTGACATCATGCTCTGCTAGACTTTAAATTACCACTTAGGAAGGAGCTCCTGGAGTCACTTGGGATAGTTCTGTGAATGTTCAGTAGCCATCAAAAAGGCAAGAAGAACCCTAGGAACGAAGTGGAAGACAAAGCAGAAAACATGTTAAGCAAAAATACAAATATTTTGTATGTGCTTCTTCGGTTCCGGTCCTTCTGATTCAGGCAGGCTGGTATCAGAAGTAGTAAAGTTTGATGGAGAAAAAAGTGCTGAGGTATGTTAGAGATACGGAATAGCTTCCAGGTGAGAACCAATGACAGACTAGGGCTCTTCAGTGCAGAAAAGAAACAGATGAATAACTGGTTATAACAGATTTCTGTAACATCACAAAGTGCATGGAAAAAAGTGATTAGAGTGGTTATTCGCACGTTCCCTTGACACCAGATTTATGGCACACCAAATTAAATTATCTGGCAGAAAATTTAAAGCAATAGGAAGTGTTTTCATGCAATGCATGGTTAAACTTAGGAATTCATTGCTACAATACATTGCTGGAAGTGTATTCAAGTCCAAAAGCAATTTAAATGAATAGAAGAAAAAACACTTGCTCTTAAATGTAAAGGAATGGATACATTCTCTGGGTCTGAAAGACCTTTAGGTTCAGACTACCAGAAGCTGGGTGGATATATCAGGGAGCTTGTGCTAATACCTTGGGCTACCTATGCAGCTGCTGCTGTTCATGGCACTGAGCACAGATGAATGGCCTTCCTGTGACATGAGTGGGAGTAGTGGAGAATTCAAAGCTATAATTCCAAGGAATTTGTTTACAGATGTAGGTGAGCAATTAGTTCATGTGCAAGATGAGATTTGAAAATAATCTTGAGAGCTGTAACAGCTGGGGCTCCCCTTTTGCTGTGGGATATAAATATCTTGTGGTATGTGGTATATATGGGAAGGATGTTCGGTGTATCCTTTGGAACAACATCTGTCACGTGATTGCCTGTGATTTCAGGGGACTGGCCTGAGCTACCAGTCTGGTCCTCTCAAGGATTATGTTCCTAGCTCTAAAAAAGCTGGGAACTTAGTTTCTGCAGGGCAGCTCTGTAGCAAAGGGTTGGATTCTGTAATGAATTCTGAAGCTGCTAAAATCATGCTTAACCCCGGATTCTGATTACAGGATACTTCATGGACAAATCAGAAAGGGATTACAAGTACAGCTGCCCTGTAGCCTTATACCCCAAATTCATAAAGCTTCATGTAACTCATACAGACATAACTTTGAGAGCACACACAACCCTAACCCACACATACGCATATATACATATATTTCAAAAGTGGGAAAAAGATGATGTAGTAGACAGCTCATCAGTAGATATAGCTGAGTGTGACTCTTGGAGAAAGATTTCTTTTAAGGAAAGAATTCATAACTCAATGTGAAGCCTCTTGTCCAACTGTAATTTAGATGCTGTTGTTCGGGGATGCTGCTGTAGAATGACTGCTTATACAAGTTTGATTTTTCACTGCTGTTGGCTGAGTGAGGACCTGTGCTAGTCCCAAAGTTTAAACGTTACATCATGTTGACAAAGGTAAATGTGGAAGCTGCAGCCCTCGCAGCTGTGGTATAACACCAGGTCACTGCTGAGGTAGTCTCATTTATCATTCAGTCTCCATCTAATCAGTCAAAGGTTTTACAAAGCAGATTAGTGTTGTAAGCTTGCTTTCTTCACTACATTTAAAAAAAATCTCTTTTTGTGCAAACAGAGACTATATGATCTAAACATACTACTAAATGTAAGCCTAATTTTTCATGGTTACTGTGTAATGAAGCATGCGTGTATACAGCTCAGTTCAAATGACATACGTTTTCTTCACACTGAGGAGTAAAATGTAAGACCTGTATCTGAGAGATTAAACACTAACTGGATTTTATCCCCAAAGCTTTCTGGCCAGCAGTTTAACTTTGAGTTCTCAGTCAAAAACATACTTTTCTAAAAGGAGGTATAAATATTTGTGCAAAGGATCTTTGTTGTAGAAACTTATACCTGAATTTGGGGCTTTTCTTTGGGATTGATCAATGTCTTTTCAATTGATTTATCATTGTTAGATCCCTGCAGAACCGGTAAATATTAGTACTCCATTTCACAGATGATTAACTAAGGCATAGAAATCAAGGTCAGGTGAAATTACTACATTCTTCTGTGCTGTTTTTCTCCTTTCTAATTAGTGCCTGACTAGCTCACAGCTATGGAGGTTGATATTTCAAAGATATTATGAATATGGATAAGCTTGAGTATTTGTTTTCCCACTTTCTCCGGATAGAAAATTGGAACAGGTTCTAATGCTACAAAATGGAGGGCAGAGAGGTATTGTGCCCTCTGTTTCTGTTGATAAGCCAAAAAGAGGAGCTATACCTTTGTGGTATTAGCCCTGGTGTGCTTTCTGTTGTTTCCCTCCAACATCTGCCAGCAGGGCTGCTTTCAGGGCTGGCTTTAGACAACTCAGCTGATCTTGGAGAAACTGTCAAATGCAGCCACTGCTTAGTACAGCCCCCTTCCCCCAAAGCACTGTTATCTGCGGTGTAGGTGGGTTTCATATATTCAGCTACTCAATCTGCCCAAATGGTAACCATAAATAACTGGGTTCTTCTTAGAAGGGTTCTGATGCTGCATGCCAAGAACAGATGAGATTTGCATGCAGCCTTAGCTGAGTTTGAGCAGAGGCTCCCTGCCCATATCGATGTCAGGTTCCAGACCCTGTGGGGCTCACCCTTTGTATTCAAACTGCTCTGCAGCTCTAGAGCTCTAGAAGGTTCAGTGGCATAGCCAGCGTCTTACAGGCTTACACTCTGAGGCTAGTAAAGGTCACAGCAGAGCCATCATTAGAACCAGTCAGTGCTAGAACTTAGGAGTTTCTGACTGGGACCTTGGCATCCTTGAAACTCACCTGGCCACAGCTAATAGAGCATCTTCATTATAAGCATTGTTCTTAAAATTTTAGCCCATTAGCTGGTGCCCAGCAACTTGTTACATCCATGTCTTACACTTTTAAATTCACAGTATAATATTCTGTACTTCTAACGAGTAGAAATAGTTTGTGCTGCTATTTAACACAGTCAACATTCAGCAGTCATTTTCTACTATACGTGGTGCTTCACAAAAATGTAGGAAAAGGACCTTTTGAATTTGGGGATTATAACTTGAAGGTGTTGAGTGCTCAGTAAAATGTCACTTATTACCATGTAGGACATATTGAGCACCTCAGAGGATGACTTAGAATTTGACAGCTAACACTGGGATTTTTAATAACAAGTGTGATGGCTGATTCACTGCATGAGTGATTGGAGGGAACAGCGCTGAGAAGATGGCCGTCTCAGTGTCTCTCCAGGGGGTTGGCAT